CCCGAGCTGCAGGAATGCGCCGCGACGGGCTCGCCACCCGCGGGCGACTCTGCTCCCTTCGCGGTCCGCAGCCGGGGCTCGACTTGCAGGGTGCGTTCCAAGGGTTTTGTGGCCGGCGGCTCTTGGGAGGAGGCACGCGGGCTGTGCGTGGCTGTAAATATCAACGTGCAAAGCAGTTTGGTTTTTTTCTTTTTTCCTTTTCTGCCAGAGAAGGATCACTGCATCCTTTTAAGGCAAAGAGATGCGTTTTTGAAGGACAGGAGTCGTGTCCTTACTCTGCAGCAAATTTTCTGAACAGGTCGAGATAAACCAATAACTTGTAGCACAAGTTTATCCTTTTAATGGGTATTGTTTCCTACTGCGCTTCCTTAATGTCCTGAAGGCAGTAATTCTGCTGACCTCTCTGCACTGACTCATATTCACTACTTTCCCCTCCAGGATACTCCCAAAACATAATTATGAGAAGAAACTGTTTCACAGTATTGTGGAGAAAGGCTGTTCTGAATTATTCCAACAAATTGAGGTTTACACATACATCTACACATCAGAAGTGTATTTCTAGCATTACCATCAGGTATACTTGTTAAACACTGGAACTGACTGATGTATAAGTGAAAATTACTTCTCCGGACCACAATGCACTAGATGTTTGAACATCAGGAGAAATGAGCTTTGATCCCCATAAAACGAGCCGGCACTTGCTTAAATTCATTGTGGACCACAGCCCAGCAGATGTCACTATACAGAGGGAATTTCTCCACCTTAAACTCTACAGTTTTCTTTACATAAGAAGACAGAATCATTAAATTCTTATAAAATATATGTTAGGAAGCACTGCCGAGAGTGAAAAATCATTGCTCTGTGGTACACAACTGAATGAAATATCACCTGTCAAGAGGTGATTGAGACACATCTTTCATGTCCAGTAGACATAATTTTGCCTGCATAGCTGAGAAATGAAGGGATCAATTTAAATATGAATGCCAATTTATTAGTTCAAAAATAATATTTCAGGCCTAATATGATCTTCAATCTTCACTGTGATTATGAAAGAAATTTCTACATCAAAATTTAATATAGTAATAAACTGTTTTTTAGTTTAGTGCAATAAAAGTGTGAGCAACTTCATGACATAAATTTGTAATAATAGATTTAACCCACAAAAATCTGACAGTATTAAGATCCATGTTAATGTGTATAAGGACTATGTTTGCTTTTCTGAAATGATTCTGAAACTAAGATCCAGGTTATATACTATCTACTATTCTCATCCTACTGAGTCAGTACTGATAAATTAAGAAGAGATGAATAAATCATTAGAAAGATGAGTGTGAGGATTAGAGTATATGATTATTAATTTAGAAATGTCAGCCCAGGAAACATAGCATACATCTCTACAGAAAATGTAAAAGGTAGCTGGATGTGATGGTGCGTGCCTGTCGTTTCAGCTACTCCAGAGGCTGAGGCAGAAGGATCCCCTGACTCTCGGAGGTCGAGGCTGAGATAAGCTGTGATTATGCCACTGGGTGATAACAGGGTGAAAACCTGACTTTAAAAAAAAATGAATTTAGAAACATGGAGTTGTTAGAAAATGATGAATTTGCAAATCCATGTAAGGTAGAATTCCTTTAGACATTGTATTTATAAGTTTAAGGAAACAAAGATAAACGCAAGGTGAAATGCAAATCAAATAGTGTATTTAAAAGGGAGTTTAATTCTAAACTCAATTTACAAAGACTCAGTGAATTAGCTCAATCTCTTCACATACTCACAAGCTTTGGAGACTGTGACAAATAGCTGAGATTTAATTTCAGTCCATGAAACTTATACCGAGATTCCCTCTATTTTGCCTGAATAAACTTCTTTTCAATGTGCTCCTGGGATTTAATGGTATTTGCTTAGCACTGAGACATTTACAGTTGGCCACACCTCAAAATGAATCATAAAAATGCTGATAGGCATTAGCCAAGAAAGACTCAAGCACAAGGACACAATTAGTGCTCATGCTTACCTGAGACTTGAGTCACAGAATGAAATTTTAGGTGGCTCACTAGAACCTCCTAGTAAAATGTATCTCTGCCCCCATTTCCCCAAAATATTTGGTAACCTAAAACACCTTGACAAAACAGAACTTGTATAAGAGACACTGGTGGCCAGAACCACTTGCTAAGGTGCAGTCTTTGACTCTGACTTTACAGGTAGAAAACAGAATCAGCAAACAAGAAGCTGGATCTACAGGAGTGATGACACAATCACATTTAGAGTGCACTAATTACAAAGTCTGCCTCCAATAAAATGTCTTAGAAAAATAGCAATGTTAAAAAACTTAGGATCACCTTTATTAAGCTATTATAGAAATGAGCAATATCTTATACACTGAAGGGTCTCTGCCTGCCAAGGTATAGTGGCCCCATTGTAAATATTTTATGTTTTTGAGGGTCCTGAAGAAAGCTATTTAACTTAATGTTTTGCACAGATTGTGGCATATCTTATTGGAGTTTCTGCAGCTGTAATTTCTCTTCTTTCTAATTTATAGAAAACAAATTTCTCCCCATTATACAGATTAGTTATATGAAAACTCTACCCTATATAGAGATTCATTATCCTTTAGAGACTGAAAATTGACTTCTTATTTAGTCATAACTAAAATTTGTAATAGAAGACAGACCATATATTTGCCAGACACTTTGAATGGCATCTGCACAGCATGCTTTAATGAAGTTACCATTTTACATGAGAGAACGTTGGAAGGTTTTCCCAAAGTCAAATAGATAGAAAGTATTGGAATAGAAAGACAAACTCAAGCATGACGTATCTAACGTCTCAGATTTTTCAAAATGTTTTCAGAGTTTCCGTTCCTCCTTTTTAACTCCCTTCTCTTTCTCTCTCTTCTCAACTCCTCTCTTTTTCTTCTTTACTCCCTTCCAAATGCCAGCCGTTTATATTTCCTGAACTATGTCTTTAGAAAGTCCGAACTTCCAATGGTTTTTTAGTTTGTTTACATGGGCCTCACTTCTCCTTGGGTTACATTAACAGCTCTGAGACCCAGCCGGTCAGACAGGTCTGGTCTGGAAATCAGTGTGTGTGACTGCTATCTGCATAGTTGATAGGCTTTCATATTTCCTCTTTCAGAATCATTCCTCATTTTTCAACAGAGTATATTTCTACTTTCATTCTTAATGCATTGCTAGTCTATATTCCTGACCCTTGATCTCCTTCTCTGTCAATATGTCCTTGACTCTATGATTCTCAAATTGTAGGGTCTCTAGCACTAAACAAAAGAAACTGGTGACTGGCATTTGTTCTGGAAAGGAAAACTGGCCAGAAGGAAAATTTTCATTGTTTTTCTGTTTTTACCATTGTAATTTTAAACTACAAGATATTACAAAATTCAGAGTCTATGTTCAATATTTCTTTTAACACCTTTAGATTGTTCAAATACATAAAATATAGTATATCCCAACTCAACAAAAATAAGAGCATACTGCTTCTGTTTATATATTACAGTAATTTATTTGTAAATAGTAAAGAATTTTAGTAGTGAGAATTTGTTAGTAATTTTACTTCTTCAGTACAAAAATATCTTGTGTGCATGATAGAAGTTATAAAAGAGTGCTGTAGTAATTCACACTTTCATCACAGGGGGAAAATGTAAACTTTGTAATACTTTTGTCTTTATTGGACAAATATTTCATTTGATGCCTAGTGAGGATAGGATATATGTATTTGAAATTATATACAACTGTGGTCACAAAGTATCCAACAGTTAGTTTATGGATAATGTTTTTTAGTTGACCACATGCACACACACCCACAGGCAAGCCTTTTGAGAAAAGCCAACTGCTTTTATGGGTCTATTATATCTAAAGCTTTCTCTCATTACCTGGGACTACAAAACCCTTTCCTATATCTGTGCTTACGGGAGAGCCATGAGAGACCTGTATAAGTGCCTCTGATTGTCAGATGCATGTAATGAGGCTCAAAATTAATAACCAGCTGGAGCAATGAATGTAGGACTGTTAGTTACGGCTAATTGACTCTCATCTACAGCCCTTCAGCATGCTCAAAGGCCCTCGCCATATAATTTCTAGATTGTGCTATTTGTCTACTCTTCTTGGACTTTAAGTGGTTGACTATAAAGCGGAGTATTAAATTGTGTAAGCAACAACTTTCACACTCTAGCATATTCATTCTCATAACGAAAGTCACATGAAAAACCCTATTGTCTTCTCGCTGTGATTTCCAGCGTGTACAGAGAGGACAGTGTAGAAAATTTGAAAAGAATCAACCACTTATTCCTTTTTGTAAATTTATTCTGGTCGTGATGCTTTGAAATTTCAAGTGGCATTTAATAACTTTAAAGAAGGGTATGCAATTTTCATTTATTCAACAAACATGGCATAATTTACGATATAAATCTCTTAGGGTATATTTCAATTAAATTTGTTTCCTTGATGGGTTATGTCCATTGCAATGGACTTATGAACTTTAGACCTGAAGTGTATCAGAAGGGGCAGTATGATTTAAAGGGCATACTTTATTAATAGATTTTTACAAAGGGCATTTTTTTCAATCTCCATAACAGTCGTAAAAAGAAAATATAAATATATTCATTACTCAAACAAGAAAACCAGTTCAGAAATTTATGGCACCTGCCTCTACCTGGATCCCTAGATAAGAAATTCAGGTCTGCCTGTCCTAAAGACCTGATGACTACTACCTTTTGGTGCATTAATCTAACACAAAGTAAATAAGAAAGAACAGTGGAGAACTTTACTTTTCCCCTAGGCTATTTATGTTCTGAAAAAGATTTTCTGTTTTTGTTGGATGTTTATCACATTACATTTTAGATTTGAGTGATAAATGCAGACATCATATATTCAGTATGAAATTATAAACAGTTTTAGAAGAGAATTAGGGTCTAGAATACCTAGAACTGAGATGA